TTCCATGATGAATGTCATTATATTGTCTATCTAAATTTTACCAATAAAATAAAATTAAAAAAAAAAAGAAGGGTGATGGTAAAAACTCCAGGTGTGGTATGTAGTTAATAAAGTTGACATGTGCTTTACTATTTTAACACTTACTGGGGGGGATTTATCTACGATTTACCTAAAAAGTGCTTTGTGGACCTTACACTTTATTAATGGGTAGTGATTTCTCATACTGCCTTACAAAGCCTGTGAAAGCCACTTCTTATATCTTCTTGCAGAACAGAGGTCAGGTCCAGTCTACCCCTTCAGGATGGCCATTTCTTTGAGAAGCCCCCAAGCAGGCATATTTCCTTACCAAACTTGTCCCGAGAAGAGCCTCCACCAAAGACTATAGCACTGGCGAACGAGGAAGCACTGCAGAAGATCTGTGCACTTGAAAATGAACTTGCTGCTCTCAGAGCTCAGATTGCTAAAATTGTGATCCTGCAAGAGCAACAAAATCTCACTGCAGGTCTGTAAGTCCTATATTTGTTTTAATTAGAAACTGAAAATTAGAGAATGTCACTTAATTCATGATTTATTGGTAAGTAGTAATAGCTCTTGTGATTTGAAAATCAGATGTTATCCTCTTCCTTGTCTAGTTGAGAACCTGGTCAAGATTAGGTGGGTTTTTGTGTTTTGAATAATCCTGATGCTATCAGAGAGGACAAATAGGAAAATCTCTTTGGAAAATACCAAAATTATCCCATGGAATTGCTGCTGTTGTGAATGCTTTCCTCCTGGGAAACTTAGCTGTCTATAATAATAACACCACTTCTGTTAGACATGAGGTCATTCCATGGGTTTCTGTCTAGTGTAAGGGGCCTGAGAGCGTGGACCAGACTTGGGCTATGTGCAGTTAACTACCTATGTGTCCCGAGGTAAGCATTTGACCTTTCACTTCACTTTTTTGCTCTAAAATCAGTATAATACCACCTGTGTTATTGAGTTACTTATGTGAGTGTATGGATAAAGTATATAAAATGTCCTTCATACCCAGAAACTACTTCATGGTTGTGCCTCGTCCTCTTGCAGAGAGTAAAAACTAAATTTAGATCTTCTGACACTTGGTCTGATACTCTTACTTTAATTAGTGTGGCATCGTTTCTTCTTTGGGGAAGAAACCATAGCCTTGAAATCCTAGCCTGCTAACCTGTTGGCAGATAGTAGTTGTTTTTCCTGTTGTTCCCAAGTTCCTGGCTAGACTCAGTATTAGCTCTGTCAAAAGGATGAGGATGATTAATTACCCTGCCTCCGAGTCACTCTGCTTATGGCATCTTGGAATCCTTATTCCACCTTGGCTAGATGACGTTTGAAGGCATTCTGGGCACTGGGTGCTGGAGGGGCAATGAGTGTTTTTCCGTAAAGTGGATGAACCTTAAAATATGAGTCTTGTTTTTTTCTTCTCCTTAAATTGCTGTTTTCCTTTGCTTCATCTCCCTCTTCTGGCAGAGTAGGAAAAGTACTATAAATGGATACTTTAGAATTTATGTTTAGGTGATCTTTTTGTAATTTGAGTCTTTTGATTAAAACTATTGCATTTGTACTATTTCCTTTCTGCCTCCATCAGTACAGTTCACCTAATAACTCTCCAACTTCCAGTTACACAGGTAGATGAATTTTAGGTCCTTATTTAATAACATTTTAACTCTTAATTACTTCTTGTTTTGAAAATTAGCTATGACACTCTTTTTTTCCTTCCACAAGTTCGTTCCAGTAAATCTAAAACTCTTCTGTACATATTCTAGTGTATACAAGCTTTTAATGCGTAATAGTCTCAAAATGAACATATGCTTTAAATGAACCACGAATTTAGTTTTTTTCCTGATAGTTATAAAAGTACTAAATTGTCAAACTATGAATTGAAGATAGAGGTGTTTATATGATAAAAACTGCTTTATATTTCTGCTAAAAGTGATCATGCACTGTGTCACAGACGTGCATTAGAGACCACAAAAACACTCCTGTTAATTTAAATGGTACTTTTCCATCTGCAGAGTTTAGATTGCATGATACAGTAGCTCAGAATTAGGCATTTCTCACAAAGTAACTGAAAACTGCTTTTCTTCTTACATAACAGATTCTTTTTTTTTGGTACCGGCGATCAAACTCGGGTTCCTTGCACTTATGCAGCAGGTGGAGAAACCACTGAGCTAAATTCCCGGCCCCAACTGAGATTCTTTTTAAGGATTTGTTTTTAAGAATACTAAAGTCTTGAACATTAAATTTGCTTTTAAAAACTGTGATGTTCTTTCTTGTTTATTAACAGCAGGACTGTTTATTTTTCCTTATTTCTCCTGTAGGTGACTTAGATTCTACCACATCTGCTACTACAGTACCACCTCCCCCACCTCCACCTCCACCACCACCACCCCTTCTAGTGGGGCTCCACCAAAATGTATCTGCTATTGATCTGATTAAAGAACGTAGAGAGCAAAAAGCCAATTCTGGAAAGACTTTGGCTAAGAACAACCCAAAGAAACCTGACATGCCAAATATGCTAGAGATCCTTAAAGATATGAACAGTGTAAAGCTTCGGTCAGTCAAGAGGTGAGGGTGTATTAACCTTCTTTCTTGCTTCCTCATTTGTTTATGTCTTATAAAACCACAGTACCAGGCTTTTTGATACATGTTTTCTAACATGACTGCCGTGAGTAATAGAATTCTAATTGAACCCAAGACCTTATGCATACTAGGCGAGCATTGTACCACTGAGCTACATCCCCAGTCCAGCAGTTTTTAATTAAAAAAAAAAGATGGGACCTGCTGGCTCCTCCTGTGCACAGTAGCAAAGATAGAAGCAAAACAAGCAATCCAGGTGATTTTTTATTTTTCCCATTTAAGTCATGTAGTCTATATTATGATTTCTCCGTAGTTCATTCATTAAAGGTGTTGTATGTACCTAAGTTTGGGTGGAAGATGGAACCCTAATGGCCCTGAAGGAGAGCACAGGCAATGTTCTGGAGGTGTAGGATAAGTACCCTTTTATCAGACTTCTGCGCCTGCTCTTTTGTTGAGGCTTCCATGTGGGTTTCTGTCTCACTGGTAGCAGTGTTAGTTCTGTCATTGACTGTGGTGCTAGAGGTGCTCCGCCTATCAGGTAAAGACCAATAGCGTACTTCTCTGAGGGATGCCAGCATGACTATCTGTCTTTTTGCCTTGTGTTCACTTCTCTAAGGTCAGAGGAAGAGGTAAAGCCCAAGCCAGTGGATGCTACTGACCCTGCTGCTCTCATAGCAGAGGCTCTGAAAAAGAAGTTTGCTTATCGGTATCGAAGCAACAGCCAAAGTGAAGTTGAAAAAGGAATTCCAAAGTCTGAATCAGACACCACCTCAGAGACAGTTTTGGTGCGTATTAGCTGAAATTCTTTCCTGTTATGTGGCAATGCACCCCATGGATGAACCCCTACATTTGCAAGTCATTTAGCTATGTCCTTTGCAAGATTCAGTGGGATGTGATGCATGATTTAGTCCCTACCTACAAGTAGATTGCAGTTAGCTAAGAAAAGGATAACATTTTTGTTTAGCATTTATATTTTTATTTTCCTCATTATAAAAGTAATAGCTGTTCAAGAATTTAAAATAAAGAACATAAAGAAGTTTAACTTTGGATCTCACTGCTTAGTAGTCTCCACTGTCAAGTTTTCTATGCAGAGTTATATTTGTATTTAAGCATAATGAATTGAAAGTCAGGATAATAGGATTGTTATCTTAGAACAATGTATATATTGTGATATGGAAACTCAAAGCAAGATCACTTTCTTTGGGCTGGGTGTGGTGGTGCACACCAGTCATCCTTGGGAGGCTGAGGCAGGAGGATTGCTGTCAGAGGCCAGCCTGAACTATATCGTAAGACCCTGTCTCACAAAAACCAAAAAAAGTCATTTTCTTTGGGCGCCCTGTAAAAGCCTCTGACGAGGGTGAGAGTTGAGAGGTGGGCCTTGAAGGTGTGCATCAGAGCATGGGTGGAGATCGAGCACATGGCATAGGGGCTCTCCGGTGGTAACCTCTACACTCCCTTTATCTACCTGGACCTTCACAGGGGTAAGTGGCGGTTATGGTTATCTACTCTGGGGAGGTAGACATCGAATGGTGGTGCCCTTGAAACTCTGTAAAGAATTGCAAGGGAAACTTTGCACTTCCTCCTTTGCTGAGAAAATTGAACTGACACAGGATGATTATCATTTTCTTTTCTAGGAATAAATTTGGTTACCACATTGCCTTTCATTTTGTTGATAGATCTTGTATTTATAATAACCTGTCTGTCCATAAAGGTTTTAATATTACTGAGAGCTGTTTTTATTTTTTTTTAATGCAGAACATATCCAGCTCTGATCTGTTTTTTGGGGTGGAGCGTATCATTACTGTTACAAGAACCAGAATCTATCTTTATACCTTTGTTTTTTTTCCAGTTTGGGCCACATATGTTGAAGTCTACAGGAAAAATGAAGGCTCTCATTGAAAATGTTTCAAACTCCTAATGGACAGTGAACTAAGAGAGGTTATCCTGGTTCAGCTATTTGTGAGGGCTCAGTTTGACTAGTAAAAATCACCACTGTATAGTAAATACCTTTAATATTCATTGGTTTCCTTTTTAACCTAATTGGAGGATTAAGCAATAATGAAAATGCTGTAAGTTTGGTTCTGATAATGTTTTTGATGTGTTCAGATGTCCAGTCTTGAAAACATTTGTAAGAATTCAGAACACAGAAAAGACATTTGTGTTGTTACACATTTTTAATTCTTAACACTAATTTATCTGTACAAATGTTTTATGTGAATATATCTGGATATAAAACAGTTCACATAAAAATTAATGATGGCAAATGAGGGTACTATTATCTTCATTCATTTTCAAGAATCGCTTACTATTCAGTGATAGAACAGCTGGTATAACCGAAGTTGTTGAAATGAAATATTTGAGATTGGAATCTTCTTGCCTTGAATAGAACTTACATATTGGATTTCCTCCCATGTTTTGGAGGTGGGTTTTGCATGGAACTGGATGATGTTCACTGCTAAGATTCTATAATGCTTTCCATTAGAGCAAAATTGAGGACAGGGAAGGCTTGCATGCACATTATTGCCATCCAGTGCTGAGGAAGCAAATGTAGTTTCCAAGTAGTGACAAATCAAAGTATTGAATTTAATTACTTTTTAGGTAAAAACCTTCTTTCTTTTCAGTTTAATAAATGACATCAAAAGATGACTTATTGCTGAGTTAATGCTATTTCTGGAAATGTCAGCATAATGGAGTTAAACATTTTTAAATATTGGTCAAAATATTAATGCTATTTATAAGGAAACATTATCAAACAGGCAAATGACTTTCCTATGAATTATTTATTATTGGTCACAATGCTGTTCCAAGAATTATATTATGCACAAACTTTGGGTGCTATTAGAAAGTAGAAGCTGGGTGTGGCGGCACACACCTCCAGCACTCGGCAGGCTGAGGCAGGAGGACTGCTAAAAGTTCGAGACCAGCCTGGCCTACATAGTAAGTTCAAGGCCAGGCCAGCTTGAACTATGTAATGAGACCGTGTCTTAAAAAAAAAAAAAAAATTAAAAAATTAAAAAATTAAATTTAAAAAAAGCGGAGAACTGGAGCCTGAGCAGCTTAATGAGAGCTTGTCTCAAAATAAGAACTGCCTTTTTCACCTAGGGCTTATGACCTACTATAAGTGACCATTTTAAAATGCTTAATACATTCTCATGACTTCCTCTTTCTGCTGAACTCAGCCATAGTTAGGTCAGAATCTCCTACCATAAGTAAATATTTGCATTTGTTACTTAAATCTATGGAAAAGTTGTACTTCCTGGGCGGATTAAGAGATGGGAAGAGTAGATTGACGTTTTAAGTTATTGAAATATGTTGTTTTAAATAGGAACAAAAATTATTTTAGGTAATTTACATAGTTTGGTTATTTAGCCTAAATTTGAACTGTTGAATGTTGATGTACATTGTTTCTAAATATCTTATGGTTTAAAAATTCTGCCTTTTAAGAAAAGAATTTGCCTGATATATATTTTGACCTCTTAAGAAACTTATATTTGTATTAGTATTAAATTCTGGCTATGTTCTAATATTTGGAAGTAACTTAAAATAAAGCAAACTCTTTTATTCTCTATGGACACCACCACCTATGTATTTTTTTTTAATAGATAATACTTTTACACTGCATATGTTGGTTCTTTCAAGTGGAAATAGATGCCTTACAATGAGTTCTATCACTTCTCATTCACTCTTTCTCTTAAATAGATCTCAGCATGTAGACAGGAGAAATCTGAGTTTCCTCAGAATTCTGAAACCCAGAACCCATTTTGGGATTGGTTTGATCTGTTTTATCTTTTCTCACATCCACCTGGTTCATTTTTTAAAAAATTTATTTTATTTTATTTTATCCATTTCCCCCAAGCCCCCTCCTCCATTCCCTATATACAAAAGCTTTGTTTCCATTTTATCCTTCTATTTCACTTTTTTCCCTTCCCATTCGAACACCTTCTTTCCATTCCCAACATCCATTATATATTTCAGTCCTTATTTCCATTTTCAATTTCTCACACCAGAGAAACAATGCGGTTTTTAAGCATATGTGTCCTATTTATTTCACTTAAGAGTGTGGTCTCAAGGTCCATCCATTTAGCTATAAATAGCTGAAGCTTATCCTTTATGGCAGAGTAGTACTCCATTGTATAAAAAAAACACATCTTGGGCCGGGGATTTAGCTCAGTGGTTCTGCTGCCTGCCTTGCAAATGAAAGGTCCGGAGTTCGATCCCTAGTACCAAAAAAAACCACAAAAAACCAAACACATCTTTATCTACTCGTCTGTTGATGGACATTTGGGTTGTTTTCAAGATGCAGCTATTACAAACTGTGCTGCTCTAAACATGGATGTGCATATGTTGTTTTTAATTCTTTTGGGAAGATACCAAGAAGAGGTATAGCTGCGTCAAATGGAATCTCTAGTTTTACTTTCTTGACCACCTTATTCATTTTGCAGTGCTCCCACCCAGCACAGTACCTGAATAAGAGACCTTACAGATCAACTCTACATTTTACAGCTAAAGCTCAGATAGGTAACTGCCATGGTATAATGTTTTGTGTACTATAACTTCTGTGTAGTCCAGTTACTCTCGTTTTATAGAGATAGGGATAGTATGAGTCAGAGAGCACTGCACTTGGAGCATTATGTAATCCTGGCCAAGTAAATATCCTCTCTTTAAAAGGGGTAATAATAGCAGCTCAGAAGCTATTGAGGATTAAATGAAATAGTTCTGGACACATTCTGTGAATATTAAAGTGCTAAGAAGTTAGTTGTTATTGCTTTATTTTACATAAAGCCTAATTTCCAATAGAATCTTTTCTCCTAAGACACATGGTCTCTAGCACCTGTAAAGGGTGTCATCTTATGTTTTCACTTTCATTGGTCTGATGTTGACAGGCAAGACTTTCCATCTTTAGTTCTGGTTGTCTCCTCAATGACTGGCCCTTCTGCATAAGACACATCTTCTATGTTAGGAATTCTTAAGAGTCTGCATCTTAGTGATAAAAAGGAAGATAAAAGGTAATAACTACCAGAAACACACTTTAGAAAAGCCATTGTTCTGCTAACTTCTCCAAAAATAGAAGTTCTGTGTGGGTGTGTGACAGACTCTAACAGAAGTTAAAATTTTTAGTTTATCCTACACATTCACCTCTGGAATTGCTGGGAAGAATGACACTGGGTCTCATGACAGGCTGTTGCAGTAGTTCTCATGAGCCTTCATCCATTCCTACGGCCCCTCCCTGTGTCCTCTTGCCTTTTGTAGATTGACCAGCCTTCTGAACTACCTTCTTGAACTTAGGCCTTAGTAAGATTCATCATAAACTTTCCTTGGAAACCCTATAAGCAGGCTAAGCTCTTCATTGGTCTTGATGTTAGCCCTTGAGAATAGGTGGGAGAAGAAAAATAACATGACCAAATAACCCAGAAATCTTAATACATTTCCCTCAGACTGTTGACCTTGGTTCACTTCATAAGGGCCTTAATGTTCCTGCAGCTGTTCCTTCTCAACTTTTCTCTTTTTGGTAGATTCTCCAGAGCTCTTTATGAAGCTCAGAGGGCTCTTTCCATAAGGTTAAGAGTAGTAGGAAAAAAGAACAGTAGAACATGAAAGTAATGCTCAGGAGGGTAAATGGGAAAGTAACCAGACGGTTGTCTTAAAGCAAGCCTTAATTGCTTCACAGCTGGAAGAGCCTTGTGAAGAAAGGACAGGCTCTTCACAATAGGATTTTTATCGAACCTATAGCAAGTCTCTGTTAATGTTGTCTAATGGTCATTGCTCTTCATTGGGTAGACATGTTTTTTTTTTCTTTCAATACTGGGAATCAAACTCAGGACCTTGCGATTGTCAGGCAGGCACAGCACCACTGAGCTACATACCTGGCCCCAGACATGCTTTATATCAAAGGATGAAGAAAGTGTACTTCTAGATACAGTGAAAAAGATGAGAGCTAGGTATGGTTGGGAAATCATTGTGAAATAATGGCATTAGCAACAGGGATACATCAGTACATAAAGTGCTGATCCTGGGAGTCAAGTTACCCAGATAGTTCCTTGTCTTTGGCCTACACTGCTGCCAAGGGGAACACCTGGTAATGCAGACTGTGCAGGACCCTTGTACACAGCCTTGGTGAGCTGTTCCAATTAGATTTTCCAGGAATCTGAATAAGGAAACCTGAAGAGGGTGAGGCAGTTAGTACCAGGAGCTCAAATATGGATGTCATGAGGTACAACTGAATCCATGGATTTATAGAGATAGAAGGAAATGAGAGTACTCATAGCAGCCATTGACTTAGCACCTTGTCAATACATACTTTTAAGAGGTAGGCACTTTGCAGGTTAGGAAGCCACTCAAAAATGGGATAACTTGAAGGACTCAAACCCAGGTCTGTCAACCTTTAGAGATGATGCTTCTTTAAAACCATATTATACTATAGTGTTTTAAGCTGAAGCTTCAAGGTAGAGAAGGGATGGAAGAATAGGAGCCAAGAGTAGAAGAAAGCAGATGCAACCAGAAGCTCCTCACAATGTCTGGATCCTAGGTTCTGCGTCTTGAGGCTGGCCTCACAAGAGTGGTCTTCATTATGCGTGTTAAGTCTTCACGACAGAGCCTGTAGTTATCTGAAATAATTAGAACAAATTTCTGTCCCCTCTAATGGAAAAACCTAACTTCTATTTTCTGATGATTTTTAGAAATTCAGAAGCTGTTTTCTGCCAGGCATGGTGGTGCACACCTGCAATCCCAGCTCTCAGGAGGCTGAGGCAGGAGGAGCACCATGAGTTTGAGGCCAGCCCAGGCTACAGAATGAAAACAAAAGGCTGTATAAATTTTCATCTAGTTATGATTTTTTGGTGGTGGTAGTGGGGCTACAGACCAAACCCAGAGTCTCCAGGATGCTAGGGAATCACTGAACTACATGTACAGCCCTACACCTAGGAAGTTAAGCAGTTATTAAATGTTTGTTTAACACCCTCCCCTGTTCCTGTGTTGAAACCCAGACCTCTAATAGGATGGTATTAAGACTAGGGCCTTTTCGAGGTAATTAGGCCTGAAGTTGGAGACTCGATGATGGAATTGTTTTTATAAGAAGAGAGCTAATCCTTTCCTTCCACCACCCACATGAGGATACAACTTGGAATTAGCAAAATCTGTCTGTAACTTGGAAGCTCTTCCCAGAACACAACCATTCTGGCACCCTGATCTCCCAACTTCCAAGCCTCAGAGCTGTGAAAAAAAATCTTTTGTTTATAAGTCATCTACTGTATGGGTGACTTAGTTATAGCAACCTGAGCAAACTAAGATAAACTTACTTCTTTTTTGCCTTCAAATGTATATAGTTTTGGGGGCCAGGGATTTAGCTCAGTGGTTCTGCCGCCTGCCTCATAAGCACAAGATCCCGAGTTCAATCCCTGGTACCAAAAAACCCCCAAAATAAAACAAAATGCAAAAATGTATATAATTTTTATAAATTTCAGCTAAGAAAAAGAACATATAAGTTAGGAACAGCCTTCTTTTTTTGTAGGACACAGTAATGTAGAAATACTTCAAATTTAAATTTTAAAAACAAATAAATGCACAGCTTAAAGATAAGTGCAAGATGGAATTTCTTAAAGACTACTGATGAGATTAGAGGGAGACTGAAATAGAGTAAGTCACTTTGGAGGCTTAAATAACAGCCAATAAAAAAAATCTAATACCAAAAACAGGGGTGCTTCTCTTTCCTTTGTCATCCTACCAGGCTTTGAGATGGGCTTCAGGACAACTTACGTAGTATAGATATAACATTTTAGAATATAACTGATAAAATTAAATATTTTACTTTTAAAAAGAATCATACTGAATATTTAAAACTTATAATCAAATCTGAGAGCTACATGAATTAAATTTTTTTTTAAATACAAGAATGACTAGAAATGGCATCATTTTCATCATTAACTAAACCATTCATTCACCTAAACAATACCACAATGCTTTACTCATTTTCTACAATATGGAAACCAGCCATGTTATATACAAACACTTTTGAGTACAAAGATGATGGTTAGTAATCTTCAATACCCTTTTATTTCCAGTGCTATGCTCTGCACACACCAGGAACTCATATTGCTCACTACATGACTTCAGCACAAGTAGACTAGTTTCAAAATAATTTCAGTGTTAATTTGATAGCTAAAAAGGGCACACATTAACTCCATATTAATTTAACAAACATTTATTGATGGCCCAATTTACACCAGCCCTGTATTGAACACAGGAACCAGGAAGACAGAGGTGACCCAATATGTGCCCTTTGTCAGCTCACCCCCAAGTAGTGGTCATTCCTCCTACAGACCATGGGCTTGGGGTCTTCCAAATGACACAGGCTGCCTACAGATCGTTAGGAAGGAATGACTGCAGATTAAGTCTTGTCCTTATTTACCCTAAGTGTTCCAAATATATATTGAAACTATGGTCACTAGTATGTACATTTTCTTAAAGGCAGTATGACTTCATATTATTGGTCAATATGTATTTTGTCAGTTGGCAGACACAATAGGAAGGGAATTTAAACAATATACATTAAAATATTTATATATGTTTGAAGACA